TACTCCCTCCCCACCCCGTCCGGCCACCACTACCACCTGCTATATGTCTGCTGCTCTTTCTGCTTTTCTTTACCACTACCTCCAAGCAAATAACGAATAGTGTGCCAGTTGCCACCAAAAACGTGAGGTTGCCTTATACGATCGACTCACTCACTGACTATTCCTTCTATCCTACTTGCTATCCAACTCACGGGCCAATCTTTTGGCTATTCTTTTAGGAAGACCATTATCAAGAAAATGGGCGGATATTTACAGACAATGATCTGTCATTTACTTTAGTTTTTGAAAGTCTTTTCAATTTCTTTCGCTTGACCTCCATTTTATTCAACAAACTGTGAACACAACCAATTAATATAATATTTAATATTATCTACAAGAAAAAGGAAAGAAAAAGATACTAACAAATCGTTCAATTACGGAACGCTAATTATGCCTTAGAACAATTGATCGCAAAATCATATTATTTGCATATAGCGGAACGAGTTTACGTCTGTCGCCTGATTACTTATTAATCTTTGGTTATTTATCGATCATTTGTATTTCAATCGCGTACGATTTTCTAATAGAATATTTTTATAACGGTCTTATGATATATAGATACGAAAATATACATACATAAATATTTATATAGGTATACTTACCTACATAGATTTGATACTGTTAAAGGAATAATAAGACACTAATAATTGCTACATCTACGCAAATGAAAGAAGGAAGAAAAAATAAGGGCCTTGTATTCTCGATTTGGTAGAAGCGGAAATTTGTTGAGAGACGAAAGTTAGCTGTGTGCGGTAACGTGTGTCTAAAGAGTTGGAAGTCGAGTCACTTGTTAGCAACGTCGACTTCCTGACCCACATACCAGGGGCGCCGTACAAACGTAACACACTTTAGACGTTATTCCAGCCGTAAGGCAACCACGAACCAACCGCAACCCACCGGAATAGGAGGAATGCGCCGTGTTGTTCACGTTTACGTACTTCCGAATAATAATTTCCTTCAATCTCTTCGCAAATAAAACTATTCTCTTTAGAAAGATCTGAGGATCAACTAAATTCATTTTTCGAGGTCATCGACCTATGCCCCCACGACGTTTTTAATCTAGTACTCTAGCCGCCGAATCGAGTTTCTCCGTTAGCCTTCGATATCCTCTTCGAACAGGCCATATCGGTGACAGTGTCGACATTCTTTCACCGCATACCAATCGATACTTTTCGAGTAATTACACCCACTCGTAATCGATATTGTGATGACAGAAAAAAGTATTTTAACAAAAAAAAATGCTCGTTTAAACGATACACGATATAAATATTATATTTGCGAATTATTACGATAGTTTGGATTTAATAATGAATTTATATAATTTATCTTATATATTAAAATTATTTATATATATATATTATTAAATAAATTATAAAATAAATTCTTAACATTTTGTTCACTTACAATACACTGTCATAATTAATGGCACATATATTTATAATACTTGCTTTAACAGTTATACGTATACACCCATCGAAATATAATAAAACTCTATAATCATTGTAGATAAGAACATGTTTAACGTTTTATTAACAATCGATGACTATCGTATCAGTTGTTTTGTCAAGCAAATTCTAATATCTTCGATAACCTGCGACCCAATTCGAACATCCTCCGTGTCATCGATTCCTCGATGAAAGTTACTTGCCGGTAACCTCGTTAAGAAATCGTCGTCTTCAGTACGATGATCTTCGTTACTTAAAAGAATCTCCGCCAATGCCTCGCAACATTCGCGAGATTTGTTATTCCAGTCACGGTATTCCGAAAACGTTAAGAAAGAAAAGTACTATCCTTCGAATAATTACGCGATACAATTCTAAACCCTTTTTTAAACTTGTCGCTTTCGTTATTTTATTATACCTCGTGTTCTGTTGTTGTCCTCAGCAATATCAACTCGTTCTGTTCCAATTCCATTTTTCCCACACTCTCTTTACTCGTAAGGCGTAATTACCGACAAAATGGCGACTGGAATTATTAATGAATAAATTGATATTTGAAAATTCAACAAGAAATTTTAATAAACATATAATAATATATTAAATATTATCAAGTGTTATAATTTTCTATGTAACAATTTTCAACTCTTCTACGTCATCGAAATATCGTTGTACATACATCGTTTGATCGTAATCATATTTAAAAAAGCAACAGTAAAAGAAAACACATTATTATACGCGAGCTTATTCTCCTTCGTGAAAAACTATGTATTCATAAATTCGAAAATCGAGATTCGAGATAAATGCAAACGATTGTTTCTAAGTTAGTTGATATTCTCGGCACGGAAAACCATCTCACTGTTTCCCTTTGCCTCGATCTCTCAATCCCTCAGATATAATCTCGTAAGTGCGTTATCCTTTTAAGAAACAAAAGAACGAAAAATTGTTTCAGCAATCTTGACATTTCATAATATAATATAATAATCACGTTGATTACAATCATTTTTCCGTCAGACTCGATTCTTTGACTCTCACATGTGCGTTTTCCATTACTCGCAATCTTAACAACATCTAGAATTGCTGAAAAATAATTCTTAGAAAATTCAGTTAGAATTGTAGGAATATGAAAAAAAAAATAGTTTCTGAATGTTGTCTGGGAAAACGGGTTTTTAAATGAAGCTTGTGAAAAGTGATATTAATCGTTACCAAAATGGCGATGTCCTCAAATTTAGTTTCTCACGAACTTATTTAATGGAGAACGAACACATTAGGCAAACTAAACGCGTGTCGTGTTAAAAGTTATTTTTCAACATTTATCCATATTCCTATAAATTATATTCGCTTAAGTTAAATATTATTTGATTGCCTGGAAAGCTCGTGCCGATTTAGAAATACACATACATTAATATTTGATATATATTTTTATTTATAAATATTTTCATTAAATAATTTTCATGTAATAAATAAAAATAATTAAATAGTTCTTATAACTCAAACAAGATATAGGATGTTAGCTTAGAAATTTAACATTTTTCTGTATTTATTTTTTCTAGAACTTGGGATCTAACTGACGTCATAGAAACATTCACTTTTCTCTTCTCAGAAATTCCATATCCGTAAAGAGATCTTCCTAGTTCGATGATTCTTGCTTGCTTAGTTTGATTAATGTCTTTTTTTCGTATCATAAAATAAATGTTACTTTAGTGGTCGTTCTGTCAAAGGGGAAACGTCAAAAGAAATTTCGTAGATAAAAAAAATCAAATTTGTCACAACATACATATTATAAATTAAGAAAAATAAACACTCCGTTTGTTTCTGTCACAATGCGAAAAGTATGAGGGCTCCGTTAGCGCTTTCTCTTGAAATTAGAACAATGAGCGTATACTACTCGACTTGATAGCTGGAAATTCTCATTAACTACTTTGGCTTACCTTACCACCATTTCGATCCTATCGAAGCATAAACCATAACGTAAATCTTCAAAGAATCTTTGTCATTCAAAATCAAAGCAAAAATTTGTCGATCCTAGTTTTTTGAATCTTAATAAAAGGAACAGAAAAGAAATAAAAAGAAGAGTGGTTGCTCATTGAGTGTGCGAAAAAAAAAACGATTCAACCCAGTTACGGTTTTGACCGATCTAACCAACCGAAAAAGATAAAAGAAATAAGTTACAATTTTGAGAACAGTTTCGAATGTTTCTCAGACTGAATCAGCTCTTGGTTTACAAAATTTTATGAATATTGCAAAAAGAGAGAAGACAAAGACGAAATAATGGTGAATGAAAAGATGTCACGTGAGTCACCCACCCAATGGTATTTGCTTAGCTGCGGTATGTTAAGTTAGCTTTCACCGCAAAGGAGATGAGATAAAAATTGCAGAAGGAGAGACCTTATCGATAATAGACCTTCGGTGTCTCGATTTCGTTCGACCTCTTTCTTAACCGATGTTTCTCACGCTCGTACTAAGTAGTCTCGGCGATATAAAATTGTCGCTTTTATAATTAGAAGGAATATATCGATCGATATCGCACATTTGAATTCCCACGATTTTACAAGGCCGATGTCTTCATTTCTAACGTACGTTTTAAATATTGAAATAAGTATAGTTTGATATTTAAATAATGCACTGATAGGTACCACTTAAGATCTTGTACTCGAAGATTTATTTATTCAAATTATTAATAAAATATAGTTCAATATGCAATAATTCCCTGATAAGATTTAATTCTGAATGTTTTAATCTTACAATTAGTATTTTTTACTTTACAGTATCATAGCCCATATAAATACGAATTCAACGATATAGTATACTATGGCCTTTGGATGATTTTCTACAAGTTAACATTAAACTGCAATTTGCTCCCGTGAATATACTTTTAATATTTTTTATACTTATAGCAAGCGCGCGGATTTTAATGATTTTTATATTAAATTAAAGTACACTATTTTGTCTACGCGTAGAATACTTTTTCGAGTTATAAATAAATCTGCAAAAATTCATAAAATGTAAGAGAATGCAATGCTGTAAATTGTACAACTTTGCCATTTCTTTGAAAACTTTCGGTAAATATTTTTTACACTAAAAGTAAGTAAATTTTAATGATTTTTATATTACCGGACCGCACTGCACGTCCAAAAAAAGCGGCTGAAAAAATATTTATTATTGCAGTTCCTAAAAAGTAAATTTTCATCTATTTGAACGCCTTAAAAATGATTACTTTTTAAAATATATGTATAATGCATTTCTGAATGCACACACATGTTTATATACTAAAAATTAAAAATAATTATTTAAAATTCTATTCCAATATAAATATACTATATATACTATCACAGAATCAGTGTGTATTCTTTGATAGCATTGTACCTGACATCGTTTTAAGTATCTACTATCGCCCACTAATGGTCCCAGTAGTAACTAAGATGAATCTGGGTAGGTAAAAAAGGGAACTTGTGACCTTCCATGCAGTTCTGTATTCTTTGATCGTAGTAAAATGATTCTTAATCGCAGTTATTTCTATGAAATACTTGGTTTGTGGTATTAGTTAGCCATTATTGTTTATTATATAGTAGTGGCATAAACGTCTTTATCATTATAGTAATATATATTATCATTAAGATATTGGAAGAAAAATCGTGCAAAAAATGTAAAATATTATTTAATGATAATATATGATAATTAAATATTCTATGATATACAATTAAAATAAAGTTATTCTATACATTTGTATAAAAAATTTCTTAACAAGCATGTTCCCAGCTTACGCTTATTTATCTGCTTACGACAGACATAAAAAGCTTATAAATGACTATCTGTTATTAAAAGGAGAAACTGTAACATCTTTAAAGCGAGACACGTATGTATAGTATCATAATTTTTATTACAAAATTTATATTAATTTCATTTCATTATTTCATTCATATGAAAATAGTACTTTCTGTATAACGTTTATACACATTAGGTACTTATCGGTATCTAATTATGAAAAACTAGATCATAACATTATAAACCTTAAGCAGCTCTTGACGTTTCGGCCTGTGTTTCGAGGTCCCGAGATAAGAGAGACTATGATGTTATCAAAGAGAATCATAAATTTCTGTGGGATGAGGATGAAGATCAACCTAGTACATGGGAAGCTCGATTAGCTAAAAGATACTATGATAAATTGTTTAAAGAATATTGTATCTGTGATTTGACCTATTATAAATACAATAAGGTATGTTATTTTATTATTAATACTTTATCTATTTTATCATAAAACAAAATAGTAAGATAAAAATAATCAAATATGTGTTATAATTTTTATTTTCATTTACGAAGGTTGCGTTGAGATGGAGAACAGAGAAGGAAGTGATCATAGGCAAAGGACAATTTGAATGTGGCAATAAAAAATGTACTTTAAAAGAAGACCTTCGTTCTTGGGAAGTTAACTTTGGTTATATTGAACATGGGGAAAAAAAAAATGCTTTAATAACATTGCGTAAGTTTAACAGTAATTAAATAAATAGACTGTATTTTATCATGTAATTTAATATAATTTTCTTTTTAATACAAAGGTCTATGCCCAGAATGTTCAATGAAATTAAATTATCGATCTCAAAAGCGCGAAGTAAAAAGAAACAAGGCATTAAAACGTCTAGGATCACATCCTAAATTTGATATTGAAAAACCTAGTACATCCGATGATACATCTAATAATACAAGAATTCAAGAGAATGAAAATCTTTCAACAGCTGAAAATGTTGATAATACTGTGGATGAAGAATTGAAAATTGAGAAATCTAATATTTGGAAAGAGAAACCCGTAGAATCAGTAGAGCGATCAAGAGAAGAAGAATTTGAAGAATATTTGGCTGACTTATTCATGTAAAAAAAAAATATTGATTTTGTTCCATATCTATATATCTATCATATTGATATAATAATAATTATTTTCAAATATCAATAGCGCTATTATATATAGTAGTAATAATTAATTAAATATAAATTCTTCTGTACATTAATATTATTTCAGTTAGATACATATTTGAATTCTGTAATTAAGTAAAACTATATTATTCCATCTAAAATGTATTAAAATATTTAATAATTCTAACCTTTCTAAATATTTTGTAATATAATAAATAAATAATCTAAATTATGTAAACACACAAATGTATTAACCTTAAAATTCCTCGTTCATATTTTTAAGGTTAAGGTACTAAATATTTGCTATTATGCTTCCGCATTCTGCAATCTGACTGTAGTTTATGTTACAGTTTAAAGCTAAAAGATATGGAGAAAAGTATATAAAATATTGAAAATATTTTTAAATTGTATAAATAAATAATAGAATAAAAATATGTCTATTGAGAAAACTAGTGAAAAAATTGGTGAGAATGGAGCTGTTAAATAATTAAATTTACTATTGATTGCTTGTTAAGGTTATGAAGTAATATAATTGTTTATTTTACAGAGAAAGAAAAGAATTTATTAATTGTTGTATTAGATGTAAATCCATTACAGAGAATAGTTAAGGAAGAAGCAAAAATATTAACACAATGTTTGGATTCAACAATCGTATTTGCAAATGCACATCTAATGCAAGCATCGAACAATCAATTAGCAGTAATGGCTTGTCATGGACATGGAGCTATGTTTTTATATCCTTCTGATAAGGACAATGATATACGTCAAATAGATGGGCAATATGAAAAATTTACAGAGTTAGAACGTACCGTTAGACGACAGATACAACTATTCGTTAATCAAATACCCTCAGATACTTCGTTGAATGGAGAAAGTCTTATTTCTGGAGCACTTTCTATGGCGTTATGTTATATTTCAAGGGTATCTCAGGATAAAGATGGAGATGAGAAATTTTGCTCAAGAATACTCGTGATCACTGCAAGTAATGACTCTACCATGCAATACATGAATTATATGAATATATTTTTTACGGCACAGAAAATGGTTTGTATTCTATATACTGTAAATCAGCTATTATAAATTATTATCAATGCGAATATTTTTTGATTACATTTATTTAGGGTGTTATACTGGATGTATGTAGCTTGGATCAAGAATTAACATTGTTACAACAAGGCTGTGATATAACTGGTGGAAATTATTTAAAAGTACCACAATTAAATGGATTACTGCAGTATTTATTAGTATGCTTAAACTTTATAGATAAAGTGTATAGTAAAAAAAACAAAAGTCATAATAAAATTTTCTTTTTTTTTTTAGTGGGTTTTTTTACCAGATTCTAGTGTTAGATCAAAATTAGTGTTACCTCCTCCAGTAGAGGTTGATTACCGTGCAGCGTGCTTTTGTCATCAAGAACTTGTAGATATTGGTTACGTATGCTCTGTCTGTTTATCAAGTAAGACAATTTTTAAACATGCAATATATATTACTTTTTTTTCTAAGATATATTAAATAATATTTTTTATTTATAGTTTTCTGTAAATTTAGTCCAATTTGTACCACGTGCCAGTAAGTATACTTATCCAACGATATGCGATAATAATCTAAAGAATTGGATTTCTAATTACGATTATCTTACAGTACAGTGTTCAAGATGCCAGGACCAATACCAATGAAAATGAAGAAAAAGAAAAAAAATTTAGATATCACACATTGATTATGTCATACTTAACGGTAATAAGACAAATTTTATACTATTACAAATATACGTATACACTTTTTTTACATGCATTGAAAATATTTATTGTTATAGATAATGAAATATTGATGTGTTATTTAATGTCACATCACAATCCTTTGTCATAGTAAATTCTATCCGGCAGTTCTTCCTTTCCGATCTTCTCTTTAAATTCACTATACTCTAGTGGATATATCTTCATTAAATCTGGTTTCATAGAACTATATTACCACAGAAAAATTTGTTTGTTAAATATATTAAAAATAAAAATATTGCAGCTTTTATTATTACAGATAATTACAGAAACATAAGTAAATTTCTCTTACTTGCACAGTGGAAATAATGCCAGTGCCGAGGGAATCATCACTAGCAAACTATTTATATGGCATAATATAATTAAATATATATATATATATATATTTCATAGATACACTATAATATTCTAAAACAAAAAGAAACATACGAAACAAGACATAAGCTCAGCTTGATCGGTAATAAGATCCATGGACAACGATAATAGAAACACGTTCCTTTTATATACTCTGCAGCAATTGGAATCATAATCATTGTTGGAGTCACAGTTAACGTTCTAGTAAAAAAGCATTCAGAGACTGCTTTAATCGCAGCAACTTTTGAATTCATTAAATGATCTTCATGAATAACCCATACAGGAATTCCTTTGCTAATTTCTTTTCGTCGGATAACAGCAAAATTAACCAAATTTCCAATCGTTAATCCTCCCAATGGAATCAGTCGCTATATTTTAATAATTATAACATTACCTTTTGTACTACAAAAAAGAAATATTTCATAAATTAACCGTGAATATTGGTCCTCTGCAGACAAACATTTTCTTCAATCCAAGAACCGTCATGCAGCTAGCAGCACTGCTGCATATAAAGGCTTCTACTGTGGTATCATTTTCAGATTCGTTTATCTCATTGGCTTTTATATTTCTGTTTGTATAGTTAACGATAGTAGTAAACGCCTGATTAATTAATTGCAAGCTTAAGAGTGCAGCTGTAGATCTAAAGAAGAGTAAAATATGCGAGGTCAATTTCATTTAGATAAATATTAACAATCATTTGTTTATACTTGTAAAAAGTCATCATTGTCATGAGTAGAATGGCGTTACCAGGAAATTGAAACGACATTCTACCAAGGAGATTCATCAGTTCGTCATTATCGGGATGAAAGGAACTGTCGTAAAGTTTCTTCGCATAAATAATATCTTTTTTTGTCAAATCTTCTGGTTCATTTCCCAGCCTAGAATCTAACTCTTTTTATATCTTACAATACATTTTATGTAATAGATATATATCATAAAATATACTGTAAGTATACATACAATACATATACGAGGATAGGTTGAAGAGTTTTAAGCCTGACATAAGAACATTGGTCAAACGCATCATTTTTTTTTAAATAAACATCTTTTTTTGTTAAGTATCAGAACTTTTCAATCATCCTCGCATGAATTTCTCGAGAAATCACATCTATGATATTTTTTATTATTACTCACGCATAATCGTGACAAAGTTGCTTAGCTTCAAATAATTTTTTTTTCGGCACAAAAATAGTTCGAAAATCGCTAATGAAAGACATTTGTTTCCATCTTCCGATATAAGTATTTTGATCCCACAATGACTCGTCAATGTTTATTCGTTCTTCTAAATTGCATTCTTTTAAATTTATATCCTTGTTCGACATTTTCATCAACTTATTTTTGTTTTTTACAATTTGAGATATCGTACGCCCTTCATCCATCGCATGTAATATGAATTTCTTTCAAAAATTTAACTTAGAAAAATCATTTAAAGAAGACTAAATTATAAGATAATACTAACTCTAATCGATCCGCATCTTTATTTATTTATTTTTCTTTTTTGTCATAAATCTATGTCTATGCGAAAATATCATTTACTTTCTATTAAATCAATTTAAAAATATAGACAATTAATTCGATAATTCGATATTGAATAATCGAAGACAATATCAGAATGGTATAATTTATACATAGGTAGGTTGAAAAGTTTAGAGTCTCAACCCACAATAAAATTTTATTTTTTTTTAATTAAAATTAGATCGAAAAAAAGATTACACTTATAGTTCATATTTTTTTCGCATCCTTTGCTATAGTTAAATAACACACTCTTGTAATGAAAAATATGAACAGCTTTAGCAATTCGATATATTATATTGTAAATTCATAGATAAATGTTCATAAAACAAAAATAATTTCGAGAAAAACGAGTAGCAATATTTAAATTATAGAAAGATATATTTTCTTATCAACTTTGTAAAAAAAGAAACAAAAAATTATAAAACGAAAAATTTTAAATCTTTTTAACATGAGAGGACGTATTGCAAAAATTAAAATCGCACACGGAAGTCTGCACTTGCGCGCTCTGTCGTGGACGCATTTTGATTGGCCCAAGATCTATAGCCGCTCTAATTGGCCAACCAGTGCCCACGTGACATTGCTCGGTACAATACATCGAAGGTGTCTTGTAAACATCGTTCCGCGACAATTTGAAAACAGTCGGAAATTTTGCGACAGCGTGATAAGATGTCAAATTTGTTAGTACATAATCGTAATGCGTTTTGTAAGTGCTAGTATATCCTTTATACGGTATTACGCATAATCTTTTCGGATAAATCAAAGGAGGATTTGGAGTACAACGTGGAAAAGGCAAGGGACCTTTCGTAGGTATACTTTTAGGTAGAAAATTATGACATTTAGATTTTTTGTTAATATTTTTTCCAACAACATTACTGGCTCTTTTATTCGTTGTAAAATTAATGTGCGTCATCTTAGTGATGCTTACCAATGGATCTAAATGTTTATAAAAACCAAGTTTGTTCAAAGCAATCGTAGGAAATTCGTGTTTGCCCGTGTTTACTATTGGACAAATTGCATCATCTGTAGGACTGCTCTGTGATAAAGTCCATGACCCAAATGGAATTGTTCTTGTCATGTAAGTCGACCCTTATCATTTTTGATTCAAATTTCGATTTATACAAAAATTAAGTTAATAAACTATTGATGAGTTTGAAAACAAAAAAGATTGCGACTAACCGGTAGTCGTTGAATGGGTTAATGGTCGTACCGGATCCTTCCTAAATTTTTCACACAAATTCTTCAACGTAGGTCTCGCCGCTATCGATGATCTTCGATAAGTTTCAGATCGGTCTTCGATCAATTTCAGTTTGTAATCTTGATTGTAAGACGACACGTAATGTTCTAAGGATTCGTCACCCTTTATTGGTTTGGTTTCAAATTCGGTTTTAAATCGTACGTTATTATGTTGTTGTTTTTGTAATGACCATGGACTTTGACTTTGATAATAATAAGAGCGTTCATAGGAAGTTTGAAAACGGTCACATGGTTTCTTTGCACCAACACGTACGAAACGTTTTTGTGGACAAGTAGGCATAATTTTTATTGATATTTTTTAATTTCTATTTTTTAAATTTTCTACACGATAAAAAAAAATAAGAAGAAATAAACACTTTTGTTAACATACAACACACATACTTAGATTAGAAAATAATATTCATCTCTAATCAAGTAAAATGAAGAATGAGGAAACAAAAAAACGATCGTTTTTCTAAGAAATTAAAAAATAGAAAGACGATTATTTGTTCCAATGAAAAAGGACTTTTAAAGGATAATATAGAGCAGGGCTTCTCCAACTCTTTCACTTGAGAACCCTCTTTATCCGAGCAAATATGTTTGCGACCCTGAATATAGACCGAATATTATCTTCTCTTTCACTATTGTAAACTCACAGACGTACTATATGTGTGGAATTGCTAAACTGGTTTTTAATTATTTTCGGTCGTTATGCTGCCAAAAATGTTCTAATTCTGCTAACATTTCTTCTACCTCCAAATTTAGTTATGCGATCCTGTATGGGGTCGCAATCCACATTTTAAGAAGCCCTGATATAGAGATAAGCAAATTTTTCAAATAAAAATTGATAAACAAGTAATGAATTGAAGTATTTCTGCATCGTTCATTTTATTTTATACATGAAATCGCTACAATTTTTCTTTTTGAAATTAGTAGTCTCAGTAATGATATTTTTTTTCTCTTTCTCTTTCTTTCATTACTGTTTCTTATTTTTTTCCTTTTCTTTTTCCTTGCCTTGTTTTTTTTCCGTTTTTTTATATTTTTTAATACTTTTTTTCCCTTTGAAAGCGTAAAACACGTATGTTAGAATTTTTTATTAGCCTTGCCCATTCATTCGTTTGAAAATAGTTAACGAATGAATCGAGTGGACTATATTTAAGCTTTTTCGAACTAATAATTATATATCATACCAGATGAAATTTTGTAGTTAAGGACGTAGCATAAAATTAGATACGTCGATTTTCGAGAAAATTAATTTCGTATTCCTTCTATTATTATTATTATCAGTCCCATAGATCGTATATTTAGTCAAGAGAAAAAAATTTTATTTTCCAATGTGAATTTATAGAAACTAGCTAAAAGTGGTTACAGTGTAGGATGATGCGAAAAGTTTATAAATCATCTTAAATGATGATAATAATAATGATAATAAAAAGAAGAAGAAAAATAAGAAGAAGAAAAAGATGGATTAAAAGATTAATAATAAAATTCAACAGTAAATTTTTAATTACTGTTCGCATCATCTCAACTGACTTCCTTAGTTCTCCTACAAAACACAGTAAAAAAGAAAATCCAGCAAGAAAGATCAAATGTGTCACTAAATTTCTTTTTCTTGGTCAGCCTTCTGTTTAACTAAACAGAAACTCAAAGCTTAAATACGCAAGACCAAGCCCGAATAAAAAGTAATGACTTAAACTTTAACGTGTTTAAAAAGTCATATAAAATGAAAATTAACAGATTCCTAACTAAGTTGGTACCCGATAAACAGTTCCTAAGAGGTAGTAGCAATCCATCCTTATAGCTTATCCACTAATTATAGTGAAATCAATTTTTTCGACCTCCTCGTCTCTTCATAGAAGATGTACATTGAGGACAGTACCACTTCCCTTTTGGTGGTGCAGTAATACCAACACATGGGTAGTGGAACCATTCGAAAGGGCACTAAAAACCAAAGATAATCAATATTTAATATATTAAATATAAAAAGATTTGAAAAAAATGACTTATAAATAATAAGACTGTCTTACGTCTGAATTATCGCAAGCAACCATGTCTCCATAGGATACTTGATTGCATATGCAATATCTTGGTTCATTAGGATCATACGTCCAATCTGGATTATCTGAATCCGTAACCGTTGTCGTCGTTGTCGTTGTTACAATTGGTGGTGATACAGGTTGTTGAACCGTGGCAGCAATGACACTTGAGCTTGGAATGGCAGTTACTTTCCTGTATTATAACATCACATTAAGTAGTAAATATTAAATTAAAATAACTTTTTATAGTATGACACTAAAAGGTTGCATACTTTTTATGCTTTTTAGTTGTTTCTTGGATAGCTGCAATAGCAGTCTGAGCAGCTCCAGCTAATTCCCTACTAAATTCGGCAGCGTGGACACCACCTGTATTAATGGCCTCGTAACTGGCTTTTAAACTAGCTGTCCGCCTGCCTTGTTGCATTTGTTGCGTTGCAGCTATAGCTTGAGAAGCAGCTGCTGCTATGGCATTACCACCAGCGCCTATATGGCCAAGATTATAGCTCACAGAGCCAACTGAATTCACAATAGCAGATGGGGTTGACGGTACGCTTGTAGGTGCTATTATTGGTCCAGAATTAGTTGATGTGGGCCGGGACTCAGGAAGACTTGGAGGAATTTTTTCTATTGCTAATCGTTTCTCTATAGAAGTAGAAGACGTATTGGAATCTCTCCTTTTCTCTGATCGAGCTGTAAAATATTAATTAGTATTTATAATTCAGAAATTAAAGACACATTAAGATCAGACATAATTAATATCTATACCCAACTTACAATGACCATGATTGTCTCGCGATCTACTAGGCGTGAAACTATAATGATTTTCTTTTTGACTGCTATTCGTAGAGGGTTGATCTAACTCCAAAGATCTTTTTTCCAAAATTTCAGTTATTCCTTTATTATCGGCCTCTAGCTCCATTTTAAATTTATGCAGCTCTTGATCTAGCCTTCTTAAATATCTGTCTACTAAATCATACATTTGGTTGGCTAAATGTACTTTCTCATCCGCATCTTCTAAAGTTTTATAATATTCTTTTCTAATAGCTTCATACTCTGCTTCCTTTTCATTAGGCTTCATCTTTTTGGCATTTGAAAAGAATGTCTTAACTTTTTTCTCTAAACTATCCATAGAATCTGAAAACAATTAAAACATACTATAAAGCAGCCTTATATTAAGAGCGTACTGAAGAAATATTCTTTTTCTATACATACAAATTTATATAAACAGGCATGAGAGCATCGCATAGAATACATACTTTGTACACCTAAATCCATTTCTCTCATTTCAGTGAACCGGTCCCTTAATTCTTGTGGGAGATGCTCTATCACTAAAAAATAAATGAATAAGGTCAACATAACCAAATTAAATAACATTATAATTGTCATGCTTAAAATAATAACAGTTGACAAATAATTGAATAATATATAATAATATTCGATCGCAGATATGTTAATATTATTCATATTACTATTAAAATGTTTGAAAAAGCTTAAAAAAGTAGTAACAATTCTACTAATCATTCGACAAATATCTTCTTAACCTAAAAATTATAAAACATTCAACGAAGAAATGTAGTTCTTTCTCGTTAAAAGTTCGTTGCTGTAGAAAGTTAGATGGTGTCATTTGTGGTATTTTCATCGATAGATACAACATAAAAATTGAAAACTATTTCAAAAATAAATTATGAAATGTTTTCTATGAGGGAGGGTGTATTCGGAAAGGTTAGTAAGTTTTCTCGTGAAGCAGGATAAAACGAAGCACGTCTCGTTTTTACGTACTTTCAACATAATCTTCCAAGTAAAGCATCCTCTCGTACCGACGTTACCTTCCCCGCTGTCCGATTTATAATAATTAATAATTTACAATAGAAGAGTGCTCGCCGCCGTAGAAGAATTAACGAAAATTGTAGCACTCGATCAGAAACGTGTTTACGGCGGTCAGAAGTCTCAATCCACCCGCATGTTCTTATAAGTTAACAATATCAAAATTGGTACGAGTTTTCTAACTTATTCGTCCTACGAAATAAATATCATACGATCGGAAAATAAGGGAATCAATTATCAGTTCATTCTAATTATTCCAGCATAATTTCAAATTTATACTGCTAGGTTCTCCGTTCCGGTATTGTCCGCCATCTTATGGACCTTATCAGGTCCGTATATAGTTAAATCGTTTTTTGTCCTTCGGGGCACTCCCATAAATTCTGAATAAAACTTTTCTTTTAATTTCTTTTCAAATAAAATACTATTATAATTATTCTAATTATCTTTTACATTGTGTGAAATATTTGATCCATCTATATTTAATATTCATAAATAAATCAAACGAATATTAGAAAAGAACAAGTAAATCTTTGTATGGCAAATTCAAGTGAATTACGTGTTCTTCCATTCAATCTTCTTTGAATGAGCGAGCACGTTCATTGGCTATTGATAAAAACGTCCAATAATCTTTTTATTATTCGATAGGATAATGTACAGTCCCATATCAAATTGAACGTAATCGTAATCACGTTTTCGCAGATTATTTTTAAAATAGATTGAAACAAAATGATTCGACGAAATCCAACGAAAATCGAATTGCGATTGGACGACTTGCAGGAATATGAAGCTATGAAAAAGGCACACGAAGCAAAGAAGGAAGCTGAGAGGCAACAAAATTTTAATCCTCCTTCTTGGAATGGAAAAGTTCCACAAAATGAAATTCACGAACGTATTGGATACATACCACAACAAAATCAACAACCTAGACACTCGAGGCCTAACATATAAGTGAACAATTTTTATTTATTTATTCTTAAGAAAAAAAGAATAATAATAAATATAAAATACAAGTGAAGGATGTAATAAATTCTAAAACAAAATCTCATTTTCGGTACAATTTCTTTTGTAATATTTACTGAGATTTTACTAAAATATACATGGCAGCATATTTTTCTTTTTTTTTTTTTTTCTTTTCATTCTTCTTTATATATTTTAATTCAACGTTGTAAGAACCGGCGTGTTCTCGTGCAATATGACTAGTTAGTTTAGTTTACTTTAGTTTAGTTATTTCTTTTTTAGATATGGTTTCTCACGTTTGAAATACACTATTAAAGTAACAATTGAGCCTTTTCACAATCCAAAGGGATTAATTCCACTCTTTTGAAATTTATTTTTCATTTTATAGTTAAAATACTTTGACTGATGTACTTAAATTTTTATATTTGAAATAAATGTTTTTAAATATAAAATTTGATTAACATACTCTATATAATACTTCACATTATTAATTATAAAAAATTAATCATGACTTTATCTTATGTTTGTGTAAAATAAAATACAATTGATTATTAAATTATTTCAAATTGATATTATATAACTAATTTTATATCATATAGATGTAACATAAAAACTACACCCGTAACAATGAATTCTTTGTTTGAATATACGAATATTGTAGAAGAAATTTTCTAAAAACAATATATTGATATATATGTATGTATATTAAATTATAAAAGTTCTTTACTTTTTATTTCGTGGAGTTAAATACTTTGGTCAATGAATAGCTCGAATAATAATTATTATTGCCTGAGATGTGAAACGCAACAACAAAAAGATATGTTAAATTATCGATAATCATTTAAAAGTTACGATCGAGCACTTATTTATTACTAATTAAACGATTTTCTTCATTTTTTTGCCCCTCTTAGCCTCCGTTTGCGCGTTAATAGCATACGAAAGACAAAAAGATATTGTCTTCCTATAGCACAAAGCACCAGTTTATTTATTGTCACTGTTTATTCTTATTACTGCTTGGTTCATCCTACCAGACGATTGCTTGCTTTTTCAACGAGAATGTTTCTATGTAATATTTGTAAATGTGTCTGAGAAACGTTTGATTAATTCACCTACGTGAGCTAACTATATGTATATAAACGTATAGACAATTAGAAAAAAAAAAAAAAAAAAAAAAAAAACAAAAATGAAAATTAAAAATAATAATAATAACAAAATTATTTCAATGTACAACAAATAGCACCGTAATATCTAGAATTTAAATTATTATTATCATCATTATCATCACTATCATCGATATCAATCTCAATAATCCAATTCTATTGAGATTATTAGATCAAACATAATCCTAACAAGTTTCTCACGAGGAACTTAAATAACAGGACGTAATTATTATTATTCGTCTCTGGTGTGAATCTTTGAGCGTATTATAATCCCTTGTTGAAATAAAGATACTTAGGTATATCTTTTCCTTCGCAATTCTTCAATAAAAGTTCGTAATTTTCCGGTTCCCATCGTTGTAAAGTACTGACTGCGATCGAACTAAGAAGAAACAACATATTGATACGAAAACTTCGACAATGATAGTGTACTTCTTTTCTTTTATGACCATTAGATTAAATCTCGAGGATTTTTGTCTTGTTTTTAGTTTGTCTGTTAAAGCGTAAACTTACCAGTTTTGGGGGAACAACGCACAAGCAGTCGGCACCATGAACGTTAAGCTGAAAAAGTCATCAATGATTGTATAAACATCTTCGTTTTGTTACTTTTTAATGAAATTTTAAAAAAAGTAAAAAGTTTTGAAGAAAGTTATACTTACAAGCATCCAACCATCATGACCTGTATGGGTGCATGTAAAAGTTTAATTTTTTGCATCCATGCATATTTTTCTAATCTTTCCATTATGGGTGGAAGAATCACTGAAATATGATATAAATATTTAATTATTTTATATATATGCGAATATTACTGGAATAATGTAAAGCTTATCTTCTTTTTTAAGATTATACTTACACATGCCAGGTGCACACATAATGATTCTCGAGATAACGACTTGGCTGATGCCCTTCACAGCAGCGATCTTTGAAATTTATTAAATTTAAATTAAATATGTACATTAATAAAATATCACGAATTTTGTTTTCTTTAGAAAAAAATTAATATTATAAATTTTTATTTTATTCCTCGAAGAATAAAAATGAAGGAAAAAGTATAATTTTTACCTTGGATTTACTAAGTTTTCGACCATTTTCGTCAGTAACTTCGATGCCATTGAGTATCTCATTTTGTCTCATTAGCGGTATATTCGCACAATTAGCAGCAGCCACCGCAGCGAACGGCACGTACCTCTGCGAAGATTAACGGATTATCGATCGATACCGTTAAATATAACGTGTTGGTAATAGATAATGATTGACCCGATCAACTAACTGCCATCAAAGGATTTGCTCTTTTCTCCCAAAAAGATTTGCATCCTATCGCTGTTATCATTGCTGCTGCTGTGGCACTCGCATAAGCCGCACCCAACTGATGTGTAGTCACTGGACTGTTTGCATTTCTATTAGTATAATTAACGAGTGCGTTAAATGACTGATTGACCCATTGCCAAAAAACTACTGCCGTGGTTGTTCTGGAATATATAAAAAATTAAAATTTCACTATTTTTTTTTAAATAATTTTCTATCATATTTTTATTTATTTTAATATTATAAAAATAGTAAAAAATACTGTAATAGTAAAAATAGTAATAATAAAAAAATACGTGAATAAGTATTAAATGGAAATATTTTTGTGAAGAAGCAAACGAGTAAAAGGATTAAAATAATTTCTAAAACAAGCATCGATAATGAAAGGTCAATGTTTTTTACTTATAGAATTGGAGCATGGCACCGGTCACGGCCATACCACCTGGCACCTGGAAGGACATTCTGCCAAAGACATTTTGTATATCACCAGTGTCTGGATGATAGGCCGACTCGTAAAGCTTCTTGGCATAGATGATTTCTTCTTTCGTGGTACCAGCTGGCTCATTTCCAAGTCTGCAAAACAATATTGTTCAATGATGATGATGATGATTCCTTCGAAAATATTCGAATTATTCAAGTAAAAAAAGAAAAGGTTTGAAATTTTTAATTTATCTCGTAATCCACGTTCTTTGACTTTTTTATTTATTTTAATCATTGTTAAGAGTCCAAAATTTTCTTTATTAAATATCTTTAAAATGAATAAAGATTAATTCCGAATAACAAATAGATTCAATTACTATACCTTTATTTTCATTAAACGCAAATGAATGTTTTTTTAACAATGAAAATTGTACCAAAACATGTATAATGTAGTGAATACGTTCGAATATTTTTAAAAAATATCATTAAGCATTATTTATTTAAAATATATATACGCTACTATTCCCATTCAAATTTTAAACAAACTTCCACTTGCCTGTAATCTTCGCATAATTTCTTAGCAGCAATTATTTCTTCTTCGGGAACAATGCAAGTCCGAAAATCCGTAACCCAAGCAAAATGTTTCCATCTACCTGCAAAGGTACTCTGATCCCAAAGTGGCTTATCCAAATCCAATCTCTCTTTCATCATTATGCTTGTTAATTAGAACGTAGACGCGTCTATTTTTCTCTTTTTTTCTTTTTCTATTTTGATCTGAAAAATTTACATCAAAAACGAATAATATCTAACGAGCTAGATTCTTATCATTATTTTAAATGGAAGTGAGAATGAAATCATTTGAATGAATATTTTTTAAACAGCGTGAACGCCATATGTATGTATGATATAATATATTTAACGAGTTTCTCAAACGAATTCGTTATCGAAGAATCAACTAATTCACAAGCAAAAAGTACATAATAAATTATTGTAGTCAGTTGATAAAATATTACTCGATGAAGTATTAAAATATCGGATAAATTTCCAAACAAATTAGATGTATTCGTGATCACTTCGAATGAATATATAATATCGTATTTTTGAACTATTATTAATATAAAGAAAAACAATTAACGTTATCAATATTCATTAAATATAAAAAAAAAAAAAGATTAAAGATTAAGATTAAGTAAAGATTAGCAAATGAAAATAAAGGTAAACAATTATATGTATTGAAATCATCTTTTTTAACGATCGGCTTAACTTTATAAAAAGTTATTCTAAAAACTTTTAAAATTCTTAAAAAAAAAAAAAAAAAAAAGAAGAAATCATGAAACTCTTATTATAGCATACGTAAAATGATATACATACAGGTAAATAAAAAGGGAATAAAATCAATCATCGATCAGAGTTTAAAGCGCGTGAATCACTCGATATTGCTTGAGGAAGTTCGGTGTCCAATCGTGCATGATCGTGTCATGAGACAGCCGGGCCCTGACTTCGATTGGCTGAATCCTGCCAATTTTTTCCACTCGACTTATTCGCGATAATATGTGTCTGCTGCACAATGCGAGAAAAAGATAATTACAATAATTACAATCTTTTCATTTGTTACTTAATACGCAACTAGATATATACTATCATAAAATCACTCCCTAAACGACTACCAACTACGACGAGAAGACACGAATGTGACAACGAAATAGCCTCGAAAAATATCGATCATATCATGTTCTATCTACGAAACAGAGACATCGTTCTAATTCACATATTTACGTTGTCAGATTTTAATTGTTTAGTTCGACAAAAAATTAGAACAATTAAACGAACGTTGCTGATCTTTATTTCTTTCTTCTTTTTTTCTTTTTTTTTTATATTTGTCTCTTTTGAATTCTGAAATCTTAACTGACACACAGTGTTCAATGGTCTTCTCTGATAAACGTAGCTACAAACCGACGACACGATTGGTAGATGATGTCTCTTGTAAAATTCCTAACATACGCCGTTAGATTATTCACACACAACTACTCGTATATTATGCAATAAGTTTGAGAGATTATGTAAAACGAATGATATATTAATTTTTTTCGTTGGATGAGCTTACCCGTTGAACGCGTACCACTTCCCTGGAGCTTCTGTTGGCTCCGGCTATCTGACGTCAACGCGAGAGCGCGCTAACCAGCCGCCCCCCAATTTTGCCCTCTTTACTTAATACGTCCCTGGTTCCACCACCATCTTCCTTCTTTCTACCCCACCCTTTTGCTTGCTCTTCTGCTTTATCTTATTATTCTTTTTCTTATTCTTTTATCACCTTTCTGACACAACTAATCATTATTGCGATCAAGGAATCTTTCCATTTCTTTTCTTTTTATTTTCTTTCGTTTTCTTTTCTAATCCCTTTTAGATTTTTTTATAATTAATAAACAATCGAGAACGGACTCTTCTAAATAGTTGTTTGTTTTCCAACGTATTTTTTTTTTATTTTTTTGAAATATGAAAATACGAATCTTTATTAGGAATATCAAACACATCTGACATCTTTGATGTTATATATTTTTTTGATTTTTTCATCTTCTTCGCCTCTTTTTGACATTTGTGTGTGTGTGTGCGCGCGCACGCGCGTATTAAAATCTTTTTTTACATGTAATCATTAAATAGGAGAAGAATGAATAGAAAGATAAAGAATTAGACAAAGAGATAAATTTATGAGTCGTGAAAAAAGATCGTAATTAAAGTTCTTGCCGCGTTAGGTGATACTCGTAGAGATATGAATTTTCCTGATAATAAATCATATCTGCTTTAATCATTAAATAATATACATTTGGAATATACAATGCGATGTCAAAGTATCGACGTGTTATTTGTTATTGAGATCTAACTAGATAATCATTTTCAAAAGTGAGATTATATACTTACGTATTATTTACATGTATATAATATATTTGGGTTGACTAATGAGTATGATAAAAAAAAAATAGAGAAACGGAGACAGATTTTTAATATATATTTCAAAGTTTAAATAAATAACAACATACTTTGAATATTTTTTACTAAAATTTTTTTTTCCGAATGCATACAGAAAGAAACACACACAGAGTTTTTATTTACTACCATTATGCTAAAACTATATATTATTGTTATTACTATACTATTTTTTATTTAAATATTGTTATATTATTATTTGATTTATTGTTATAAATCTACTATATATTCCTTATTTACAAACTTACAATTAGTACATATATATTACATATGTATTCACTAAATCCTTTGAATAAAGCTAGTTTATTGTTAGGATAAGCGCTTTCATTATCCTCTTTATCTTTTTAATTCAAAGATGGCAAGAACAATGTTCTCTTTAAAGAAATGCAAATGTTGAAATTTCTACTTTTAGAAAATAAATTGTCATGATACGTAGCGTATATATTATTTGTGTACGTATGTATGTGTTCATAACTTAAATATCGTATAGTATAAATACTGAAATACATTCCTACTGTACAAATACTTAAATCTATCAGTATATATATGTATATATGTACATATATGTGTGAACCTAATCGAAACTGTTATACTCTAGGGTACCGAAAACGCTCAATATGAACGCGCATTTCTCGGAGTTGCGCAACGTTATTGGCACTATCGTAGTAGAGGATTCGTTCGCATAACGCATTTACTCAAATGTTACATATGCATCGAATTGCAAAATTATGACGTCCGTGAAAACAAAAAAATAGAGAGAGAAAGAGATAAGGAAATCTTGTAAATATTAACGACGCATATAAAGCTTAAGATTTGTAATTATTATCGTAATAATTTATTTCATTCGCTATAATCAACTTTTTTTATAAATACAATAAAAAAATAATTTGAATGTATGTATAACAGCTATGATAAAATTATATTATAATATTAATCTACATATCTGTCTATGTACTTTACTTTCTTATATACTATATATATAATAGTATTATATAATAGTGATAAAACTATTATATTTAAGATAGTATATAATAGTATTATTTAGAGAGTATAAATTATAATATCATTATAGTATAAGGAAAAAGTACTTCTATGGAAAGATAGAATTTATTCTCTATCTGTGATTGTGAATCGAAAAAATATGAAAAAAAATATTTTTTATCTTATTGTTAGTTAATACAATAAATATTCAAAATGGTGTCCATCAGCTGCAATACACTTGCGTAAACGGCTAATAAATGCCTGATCAGTTCTTTTTATACTATAGCATCTGCATTGATAGATAACTTTCGCATTTAACAAGCATGCATCTAATATTCTCTTCGCGTACCTCGATGTATTATCGGAATTTTTTATATCATCATTTGTTTCCATTGAAATAAATTTAAAGAAAAAATTGTTTACTAATAGAATGTAAAAGATCATATCAATGACGACTAATAATAATTTATCAACAACTTCGGAAAGCGTGTTAAAATACCGTAATACACAATATTCCTCGTACAAAATAAAATCGTAAATACAAAATTCTTTCGATTAGGATATTTTTAATATTTTTTCGGATAAGAAAAAAAAATATTTATATTTGTTATAATATTTGTGTCAAATTCATCTCAATATCCGCTAAAGAATAAGTAAAAAAAAAAAAAATTACAGATTCTTATAATTAAATTGAAAAGTGACCTTGAAAACTTCGAGGGAGAAAAAATGTGTACAGAAAGTTTACCATAATCGTATTAAAAGCTTCTTTCAAACTATGTCACATTAGACACACAAATTGTCGATTTGAAGTAACACTTAATTTATTGTTAATAAAATGAAACAAACTTTACAAAATATAGCGCATCGCTTAAATTTTACGTGTCTTTTTAGATTTAAATCTGTTTTATTTATATTTAATCTTACATAACTAAAATTATATTAGAAAATTTGTATGAAAAATGTTAAGAAAAATATGCGTAGATAGCAAACACACACACACACACATACGGCTTTTTCGAAAATGAAGAATACGAAAAATACGCACGAATTTCATCGACGACCATCGCATTCTCATATATTAGAGAACGTTCCTTTGTTTCGAGCCGTACGTACACTCATTCGCTTTTGTTCGAAATCTTTTCAGGTGTACCGCAAAACACACGGTTGTATATTCTAGCACGATGTCATCCGTGGCATTTATATACGTGTATATATATATATATATATATATATATATATATATAAATATATTTGTGTAAACATATACGTGTATGTAAAAGTAGAACTCGACCTCCTTTACGTGCTTGACGCTCACATACACAACACTCTTATGTTTAGCGAATATCTACGAAAAAAGAGAAAAAAGAATTATATAGTTTCTCTAACTTTCGGTGATCATTCATTCTATCTTTTTTTATTTTTTATTATTCATTTTCGAAGGGATTATTAAATTATTAGTGTAATCGATGTATAGGTCAAGCCACAAACTTAATTGAAACGCCAGAGGACTAAACGACGAAAATTCGAAAATACTCAGCGTTCAAAGAGATAGATAGAGATAGACGTATGTAAAAAGAGAGAGAGAGAGAGAGAGAGAGAGAGAAAAAGAGTGAGAGAAACGATCGATCGATTAACTCGTTACCACTTTTAGTTCTATTGGATTTGCCATTAAATAATATGTCGATATTTGCAGTATTTTATATATATATATATATCTCGATAAAATAACAATAATCATTAAAATAAATTGTATTGATATAACAACAACATTGTAGTATTTAAATTGGTCGAATAATTTCGGAATTTGTTTCATAAAAAGAGGAGGTGTCTAATTTATTTGGATATAAGATGAAAATTCAAACAATACCTACTAATTGAACAATTTCATTATATTAATGTATTCGTTACAAAAGATCAATATTTCGTTCGTTCAATTAACAGCATTTTGTAAGGTTAGAGTAGTTAACGTCTGGTTGATCCCTGATAGACGACCCTGATGGTAGAACAAATCTTAGAAGCAGAATTCTCCTCTGTATAGGGAGCAGAGTCTTGTTCTTTCAGATTGTCCCCGCTGTATATATATGTATATGTATATGTATATGTATATGTATATAACGAAGGAAAAGAATGCTTTTAGATAGTGTGTATGAGCTGTCCATCAAGAATGAGTAAGAAAGAAAGAGAATATCGTGTGAAAGTAAATCTTACTTTAAAGTATTTGATTCGACCATGTATTTTAGCAGAAAACGTTTCCTTTCAAAATTTACGAATGGCAGGACAAAGGAAAGAATCTTGAATAAAATAAAGCTAATTTTGGGACACTCAAAGACCCTCTTTCGATCGGGTCGTCTTTTTTGCGACGAGTAAATTTTTCTAATGCTTGGGGTAATCGTATTTGCTAATACGGCCCTGACACATGCTGTCAGTACAGGAACGTAATAACTGGCTATATCTATTGAGTTCTTACGGGGGATTTGGTATGTCGTTATTTATGTCGATAAATAAAATTGATTGTGTAAATCTTTCTCACGTATCTTATTTCAATTATTGTTTGTTACTTTATTTGGTTGTAATTGAAATAATAAATTAGTTTTACAATCATTTATATCAGATTCGAATTATCGGATTGTTTATTTAAAACAAACAATAAGTTTATTATTTGATTTAATTTATCATGCATGATTTAATTTAAAGAATATTTTCCTTTACTTTTTTTTAATTATCATTGTCGTCATTACTGTATTGCCCCGACTTGATTATGTGAATATTTGTTTTCATCAAATTTCGAACATTCGAAGCAAGCTTTCTTGAATATTTGAGATATCCGAAATATTCATAGTAGATATACGAAGGATAGGATGTCAAGGGATAATGGTTTATATAGATTAAATATTATCCGTATGGCAAGAGTTCTTTCTCTTTTTTTCTAATTCTGGTTCTGGTTGTTGTAAGATTGGTGGTACAGTTCACAGATTCCTCGAGCGTAACCGCTGCTTGCAGTCATACAATACATTACTTCCATCCATCGTTGTCATTGTCACGCCGACTATCCTGGACTTTCGCTTGAATTTTCGCACGAAAGCTCCCTCATCATAACGAATTTACCGCTTTTCATCTCATTTATTTTTTTTTTATTTTTCCTTCCTTTTCTCTTGGCTTTTTGTTTATTTTTTTTCTTTTTGTTTTTATATAGTCGTACAGCAAATATTTTGTATTCTTGCAAGAAGGGAAGGAAACTTACGTAATAACTCAAACGGGGAGGCTGCGCAAGAATATTTTTATCGACGAGCAAGGGAAATATAGTTCTATGTAAACACATACCTATGTATATATACATTTTGTATTTGCAAAAAAGCCTCTGTTATCATCCAAGTGCCAATTAGTTGTTTAAAAAGAGAACAAAGGAAAGAAAAGTTCATTATTATATTTCGATAAACGTAGAGAGAGATTTATTTGTTCAACATATGAATATTTTAAAGGTATATGTACATATGTATATATACCAAAGTGATTATTAAGTATATTTATATAGTAAGAAAGGTTAATGCATTTAAAAAAAAAAAATACAATATATTAAACGAAAAAAAAAGAAATAGAAAAAGAAGAGAAATAAATCGAAGATAAAAGAAGCTAGAATGTTTTAGTGAAAAGAAAGAAAGAAAAAAAAACATATTCGAATAATGTTAATAGACATTACAATTTGAATATCAACTTCGACAGTATTTATTTAATAAAAAAAATTGAAAAAAATTAAATAAAAATGAAAATTAGTTAGGGTACCGGAGAAAATATGCTATGGCAAGTGAGTAGAGTGGGTATGGTGTGGTAAGGTGACGGCACTGTCGGCCGGCCAGCTGTACACGGCGTGGCGCGTCAGTCGGTACTCGTTGGGTTCTCCCCACTACTGGGCATCGTTACCCCCACTACAGAATAAGCTCGTAACGGTGGCGGCCATCGGTGTGTAGCGCGCGCGGTGTGTCTTTCGTCGGGCCATGGCCTCCATAGACACGGAGGCGAGCGAGGCAGCCCGAGCCGCTCCTCGCGTCATCATCTATACGAGAGAAAGAGAGAAAGAGAAAGAGAAAGAGAAAGAGTGAGTGAGTGAGTGAGTGAGTGTGTGAATGTGAGAGTGAGAGAGAGTGAGAGAGAGTGAGAGGGAGCGAGCGAGCGAGCGAGCTTGCAAGCGCGCGAAAGAGTGAGAGAGATATATAGACGAACGAACGAACAGGAAAGAAAAGAGAAAGAGAGAGAGAAGACGGGCCTGAGAGCGACGATCGCGAGGAATAGTAGCAATAATTTCTAACTCGAGTCAAGATGGCGGCGACGGTGGTGGCGGACACGGTGGCGGTGCTCGCCAGGGGCGACAAGATCCTCGTCACCGTCGAGTCCGCCCTACCGGACATCCTCGTCGTGTCCTTCGTTCATGGTGCCAAGTGTTTCCAGGGTGCGCTCCTCGACGCTACCAAGAGGTACGTAAATGTTATCCGTGTGTACGTGCGCGTGGCCATGTGTATATATATATATATATATATACGTGCGCGTACGTGTATTATAATATTATGTTATTATCTTTTATTTCTTTGTGTCATACCCCTTTATTATACAAATCCTATGAGTAAGTTTTATTATTTGTTTTATTCTTATTTTTTTGTTTTTTCTTTTTTTTTTTATATTGTAAAAACACCTATGTGTTTGTGTGTTGTTAATGAAGCGTGTCCTGCGTGTGTAATGTTTTTACGCGTGTCACTGGCACGACGTGTGCACCTCGTGCTCGCAACATCCCTCTATCTGTCTCTCTCTTTAACAATTGTACACGTTGCTTGCTTCTCTACTCTTTTTTTTTGTTTCTTTTTGTTTTTTTTTCTGTCTTTCCCTAAAATATATATATATACGTGTGCTTTCTCTCTCTCTCTCTTTCTTTCTTACTTTTTTTATTTTTGTATTATTATCATAAATGAAAGTAATAACATTAACAATAATTATGTCAGTTAATATAAAAAAAACAGAAAATTGCTAATTTTATTGTAACCAAAGAACAAAAAGCTTTTCGTCGATGTTCATCGTGCGACGGCCGTCGCTTCCTTCCTGTTCTACACTTCACATCATTCTATCTCTTTCTCTCTTTCTTTCCCTTTCTCTGAACCATCCATTTCCTTTAAATCCTGATATCGATCAACGATTGGAGTAGTTTTAACGAAACGTCAAGTAGTTTCAACGTGTAGTCGACAAATTCCCTGTCATCGTTTCTTTATCTTCTTCCTTGTCTTTATCATCGTTGTCGTCATAGTCGTTGTCGTCGACGTCAGAGGTGAATCACCTTAAAGAGATGCCCTTTGTTAGGGCCCACCGTGTGTGTGATATGTTAGGTCTCTTCCGGTCTCTGTCTCTCAGCCGTCTATATAACAGTCCACTCACATAAGTCATTATTTCGTTTGACAATCAGCGAAAGCATGGATTCCCTTTTATTTTTTTTTTGTGTCTAATTTCTTTCATATTTATTTTGACTATTTTTCGTCGTCGTTTTGGACTAACCACTGATTTTTAGCGATATATTTGTAAGGTAGAATAAAAAAAAAAGAAGATAAAAGATCGCATTTCTATCGGTAGCAAGATAAATGTTACGAGTGATCGTACATTCTCTGTCTCTTTCTCCTTTTATTTATTTCTCTATCCTTCCTCTTCTTTTTTTTCTCTCTCTCTCTCTCTCTCTCTCTCTTGGCCTGGATGCATCGCGTTAAACGTCACGCAGAGCTTTACGAGACGCTGGAAAAGCTGGCTTTTTTTAAGCCCTACATCTCTTCCTTCCTTCCTTCTTTTCTTCTACTTCTTTTTCTTTTCCTCCTCCTCCTCCTCCTCCTCCTATTCCTTTTTTCTTTCTTTTACTTTTATTTCGTACTATGTCGTAAACGAGTGGTCGATCGATAAAGAAAGTAACGATTTGTCCTATCTTTCTCTCTCTTTCTCTTTCCATCTGTCTCTCTCTCTCTCTCTCTCTTTTCTTTTTGTTCGTTCGTCATTGTTGCCTTTTGGCAACTTTGCCAAGGAAGTTCCTCGCAAAGATTATTCTTGAAATAAGGATGAAAGAAAACGAATTATTCTTTAGGATTTTGATTGTGTGTCGGTTTAAATGACGATTACATCGTTTTTTAACTCGTGCAAATATTTATTCACACGCGATACTGGTAATTAGGATAATTGGTTAAGAAGAAAATTACTCGAGTTTATTATTCGTTCTATTTCTTTTTCTTTATCGCCCTTTTCTATCTGATATTTCACATATAATTATCAAAATAAAATACACAATTTATTCGTAAAAGACTCACAATTTATTATATTAATCATTCATCTAATATCATTGATCGTGATTATAAAGTATTAATATTTCAAAATGTAAAATAGTTCAACACGATATTGTTTCCGATTATTCTCAATCATTTTTAAAAAAGTTGCTTACTCGTGGTTAGTATGATTATTAAGGGATAATAAATTCATTGTATATTAGTATACAATACTAAATTATGTACGAATATGTGCATATACATAAAAGAGGCATGGAAAATCGTCATTTTATCGATCGAGGATTAATTGCGTTACATGTTTTTGATTTTTCTTTCTTTTCGTATACATACGGATTATCGATTATTTTTTTTTCTTTTTTTTTTTTGCGAAAATTCATTGATTTTGATTCGTAATCGAACATTACACAACAATCCGTTGTTAATCTTGCTTGTGATTTCTGGGAGGGGGGGCGCGGCTTTTAATTTTTGTTTTTGTTTTTCAGTACGGCAAAAAAAGCCCATACATCATTGCATTGCGTTTCCGTCAACAATTTAAAATGAGAAGTCAATAAATATAAGTTATTCGGACAGGTATTCCCATCAGAAGATTTCACGAAGAAGAATTCTTTCGGATCGTCTTAACGATCTCTATGAAATATTGTATGACGAGGGAACCGGTTTTCGCGAGTTTCTTTGTTCCGGTAAAGAAGGGATCTTCATTATCGATTTTCAAAGCGGACGTTTACGAAAGCGGAGATACGAGAATTACGAGCGAAGATAATTTTAATAGGCAATGGGAATCATTCATTTAGCTTACTATTTGATTTATGTTTTACTCGGAACGATCGACAAATTTTTATGTTTAAGAAAAAAAAAAGAAATCAATAGATGACAACAGTATTATTATTTTTAATATGAGGCGCACAAAATTTCAATTACTTTCTCTAGACAAATGGAAATTTGTACAATTAGATTAGAAAAGAATAAATAGAAAAGTAAAAAAGAATAAGAAACAAATTTAATGAACAATAATTAATAACTCTCGTTGTTCTTGATTTTCACACAGAGAAGGAGAGAAAAAGATGAAAAGAAAAAGAGGAGTCGTTCGTGAAACGTCGAACTCCATTGTTCTCAAGCGTAGAATAGAGAGAAACGAAGCAACGTCGTTCGTGGCAAGTTCCGGCAAGGTAGAAAAACGAGAAAGAAGTTGCAAAAGCGTTCCGCGTGTTCGAGCTCTTATCGTTTCGTTCGATAAACCACTGTGAGAAACGAACAACTTCATTTTTCTGCCATTTTAACGATCGATTGCTTCGTACACGTACAGAGAGACACACATTATATCCACCCAACACACGTACAAACACGCACACACAAAGTCAGGGATTAACTAGAAAATGAATGGAAGTATCTTTCAATATTTTCCTTTTTTAATCTATAAATTGAAGAATGATTTGATGAAAAATTGAATTTAAAATGCGGAAGAAGTAAAAAAGCAGAGTCAGTTTGAAATGAAAATTGAATTAGATACGCTATCGATCGTTGAAGAAGAGCATATATCTCTGAGGCTAAGGGATCCGACATAGGCAACGGGGTAACGTCGTTCAATTAATTATACGTAAGTCGACCAGCTGACGCACATTGTCCGCAAAGTTAACCGTCCACCGCATTGAAAATCATACTAGCAAAACTAGTCTTACAATCGTCAATCGTCCCCTATTTGCAACTTAGTTCTTCTGTTGTTTCGATCATTGATCATTGACTAATAGCCATTGTTATGCTTTTAGAAAAATGATTTTTTTTTTTCAATGAAATCTCTGCGATTTTAAAAATATTTTTCAATAAACTTTTATGATATTAACTTAAAATACCAATCCAACATATTACACACATTCTAAAATTATTATATTTTATATAATTCATAATTATTAATGATATTATTTGCGTAGTAAAGAATTTTATACTAATTTTTCAATAAAATCAAAATATTTGTAAATAGAAAAGAGATAAACCTTGACACGTTCTGTAATAAAAATTCACCGTACTTGCTATTATATTTCCCATTAAAATAATATAACATACTATATAGAAGGATAGAAAAAGAAAGTAAATAAAAATAACGAAGGTGAAAAATATAAAATAAAAATGAAAGTAAAATAAAAGTCGATCCAACACGAGACTCGGACTAAACGATCTATCAATTTCGAGTAAGCGTTGATACGCGTTAAGCTAACGAGTTTTATTGACATACGATTTAAAGAAATAGTATAGAAATATAGGAATATAATATAGGAGTACTAATAAAACTTTAATCCTAATTTTCTCGAAAATGACTGTACCTAGAAAGTTTTTGATAATAGTTCCGTATGTACGATCTATAATCCTAACGAACCCATATAAATTTATTAAGTTTCATAAACGTCTAAAAAAAAACATCTATGAGACTCTCCTTGTAAGTCAATGTATCGTTCAAAATAAAATAATTTTGAACAGTTTATCAGCTCTGTATGTATTTAAGACAAATACGACCACTAAGAGTTAAATATTATTATTATTCGTACTATTTTATTATTTGATTTGTTAGATACTCCCACTAATTGAACTAATTTTAATTTATAATTTAATTATATAATTATACGGTATTGTGTTCTATTGATCTGAATTAAACATTCGAGTTTAGTACATACTTGTTGAAATATATATTATCGTAAAATTTGAGAAGACGTAGGATGATAATTATTCGTTCGGTCTCGCAATTAAGGATGTAGTAATACCAGTGACGAGTGAAATCTCGTTTAGATGATAAACCAGAGATAAGGAATTTGCTTAAACAACGTTTTAGTTTCCTTTCCTCTTTCTCTCTCGTACCTCTTTTCTCTCTCTCTCTCTCTCTCTCTCTCTCTCTTCCTCTCTCTCTCTTTTGGAATTTTCTCTCGTATTATTTTAACCAGACGCGTCATCATTCTACGCTCGCTTACGGATGTCCATTGCGACGAAAATCATGATTTATATTATAACACCCTGTTGTCGGTAAAACCATCCTAAGAAGAGATCTGAAATGTTCTTCGCATGAGCTAAGATGAAACCTGTTACTTTCTCGTACATGCCAGATGTATTTCACATTTCATATCCTTTATTTCGCGAACGAGATGTTGGTAGAAGACGTTCGCATCGATCAAATATTTAATATTTCA